GGCTTCCTCTAGGCCTCCTTATACTCGCTCTCCCTATTCTAGTGTCGTCACCCTACTAGGAATTCAAACGCAATATTAATACTGTAAGGAACAGACTCAATACTACTACTACTACTACTACTGCTACTAATATCTAATACCAAATAATGTAACACTACATGTTAAACCATCTTAAAAAACAGACTAATAACTCACAGAGGGATGTTTAATGGGTCAACCAACCTGAAGGTCAGAGGATTGATTTCCATTCAGACCAAGTTTTGTTTTTGAGTCCTTATAGGCAAGACACTTGCCAAGTACTGTGTGAGTGATGGTGGTGGTCTAAGAGGCCGATGGGCACAGATTGGCAGTCTTACGTCTGTCAGTCTGCCCCGAGGCAGCTTTGGTTAGAAGTTTACAGCCTGAGTATGGAGTGAATGAAGAATGCAGTGTTCTGAGAGGCTTCAGCAAGTCTGTAAAGGACATTACAATATTATGCAATTGTTACTTAAAATATAAGACAATGAAATACTGTCAATAATGCTCATTCAAATAACAATAGAATCACATCACTTGAAGATGAACAGGTAGTGGACCCTCCACCAGAAAAGCTACACAGTGTACCTTTAAAACAGAAAGTACAGTACTGCTACTACCAACATCGCTACTGTGAATATAAAGCAAGTAAGATACTCAGGAGAATAATACTACAAAGAATTCTGCTTAGACTAATACATATGTAATCAGAAACATTCAACTCCCAATTATAGTTGTCGGCTCTCATACTGGGGTCTGCTGGGTAAGTTCTGACCGTCTCCATGGCGACTGGGATCAGGAGGTGACGATGATGTCGTGCTGCGCGGCTCTTGAACACAGCGTGAGGTCACATGGAGAGTCCTGGGGTTTATAATCACTGAGCAGCAGCAGAGGTAGGGAGGGTTGGGGAGGGTTGGGGGGACTTTAATCTTCCCGAAAATGAGAGATGTTGATACTATGATGTTTAAAGTCATGAAAATCCAACATTAAGTAATATTAATACTACAATCGAAATTAGACACTTATTTAAGTATCAATACTAAACAGTTCCATTGACAGGACAGAAATGAACCTCTCCTGAATGTCTTTAGAATGCCAAGTACTGAACAAGAGTACAGAGTCTAGTATACGCCCATGGACCACTATGGAACCTACCTGGACCTGTGAGGGTTTACACAGCCATAAGGACACGTGGGAATAGAAAAGAAAGCACAATTATGCAATGTTGAAAATCACATTCTTTTGTCTAAAGAAGGAGTATTTTTTTATTATCGTTGTGGTTTTGGAATCGGTATTGAGTATCAAGTCTATTTCTTAGTACTGACATAGAATACCAATGCTTGTTCTTGTAGCCTGGCTGAGCAAATGCTGTTTTCCTCAGTACAGCTGTATTAAAGCAGCTCTGAGGCCTGACTAAGACTGCACCTGCTCCATGTGTCTACTGTGTCACTGAGGTTCTGTTGTGGTGTTTTGTTAGTTGTTGTTAGCATTAGTGTGATGGTAAAACTCTGCTCTGCCTTCTGAAGGTTTAGAGGCTCATCACAGTGAATAATTAGGATGCTTAAGAATGTGTAAGAAAAGTGAAGAAGTTTGGTCCACTGCAAAAAAAAAAAAAAAAAAAAAAAAAAGAACTAAGTCTGTTTTTCAGGTTTTTAAAACAAATCAGGTTGAGCTCCTAAGACCACACAATCTAACAGAATGCACTTTTCAACACAAAAGAGACATTCATTCAATAGTAGCATGTGGGCTTATGAAGACCATTCTAAAACTACTTATACTTATGTAGAGACATCACACTTGGGGTGTTCTACATGTAGGTGTATAGTGAAATGTTCTGCGGTTACTATGGTGACACAATACTCACACAATGCTGACAAAACATTTTAAGACTGTCTGATCAGTCTGAGTGCTCATGGTCCTGTTTAGGACTTTGATATTCACTGAAAAACTGTTGGCTAATGCTTTCAAGCTCAGAACTGTAATGTTATTGGAGAGGAACTTGTTTAATAATAAAAGTTAGGGATATAAGATACAGATACTGGTATTGAATATCGGTCGAATATCATCATCATCTCTCTTCTTGTAGTTCCAACTAATTCAGTTAATTTTTTGTCTGATTGTGGTAAAATAAAGCTCAGATTAAATTCTAACAAAACCTCAGACAGAGCATGCCTACAGTTAGCACCAGAGAATGTGGATAACATCAGCTCCAAAGGTTCAATAAAGGTTCCACTTTGACTAGTGTTTTTGATTCATTTCTTCAGTTTTGAAGCTTGTTCAAATGAGTACTTAGTTTGAGTATCTAGGTATCTTTTTTTTACTCTTGTGAAATGTGTCCTCTGCACTTAACCCGTCCTTCAACCAGAGGCTCCAGGCGGCAGTGCAGCGCCCGGGGACCCATCTCCAGATCCTGACCTGGGATCCTGGACTGCAAGAAACAAACTTAGCTGACAATCTGCACCAGTGTCCTCTTTGACCACCATCAACCACATCATCACACCATCAAATAGACAAGGTGTGTGGAGTGTCTTGCCCATGGACACAACAATAGGATCTGAGCTTGGTAGAGAGGGATTCGCTATCAGGAATAGTGCCAGATAATAAAGACCACGTTAGGTTTGTCACACTTTAAAAATGTTTTTTTAATCTATTCTACGAAATACGTTTTAGTCCTTCAGAATAAACTCTGGAAGAGAAATTTCTGGAAAAGTAATTTTTTTTCTAAAGGTTTATAATTGGCTTGGCAGTGTGGGGGGGTTGTGCAATCTCCCAGGGAATTGCATCTGGACTAAGCTTCCAACAGGCCTCCCAATCCTTAAATCCAGATCACAGGATTCAGTGGCATTTCCTCTGCACATTTTTATTTCTTCTTTCATGAAATTATAAACACATGTGATTCTGTCAGTGTAAATAAACACATTTGAGTTATAACTTCACCACAAGCATTTCACCAGAAGAAAAAAGAATACAAATACAAAACAAGAAGTCCAACATTTTCATCTGTGATATAATGGTACAGATAAATGAGTATACTGAAGCAATTTCCTAAAATAACCTAAAAGTTTATATTCTCTATTGCTTGTTTTTAGATTCTAGAATGTGATGATGCCATATTTCCAGATGGGGGCAAGAGACAGTTGTTTACTTTTCATTACATTGTGCTTTGCCTCCAGATTCCCAGATATGGAACCTGATCATTTCTATTAGTGATCAGACCCAAGCCCATGCTACACGCTCACAACAAAACTCTGCAGTTCAACATTATTCATTTGAGCTGCCTCCATCTGTATTAAATAATATTGGTCTGTGGAATGTGGTGATGTTATTTGAAAGCCAGTAATAAACCTTTTCCCATATGAATCATATCATAAATAATGTGCTGTGATAAATATACAGGGCAATTAAACAGTAGTTAAAGCTAAATGATGCAAATATCAATGTTATTTAAATCCTTCAAATCAGATCAAATATATTACTGCAAAAAGTAGAAAATTTTTCCCTCTTATTAATGATGCTAATTAAACATATACACGTAATTACTATTCAGTTTGTCAATAAAGTAATTAATTATATATATAAAAAAAATAAACTAAACAACACTGTGCATCTCAAACCAGATGTTAAAAAATAACCACTGCAAATGCTGACAGCGTAGTGAATAGTGTTTGTGCGTTTGTGTGTGTGTGTGCGTGTGTGTAGATGTGTGTATGTGTGTGTATATGTGTGTGTAGAGGTATGGTGGGGAGCAATCTTTCAGGGATTTCATCAGGACTAAGCTGGTCATCCAATCCTTAAAATCCCACCAGGAAATACCTCAAACAGAACAGAGTACTTATAATACTATACTTATCGTAGTAGCTGATAGTTTAATATGGATACCGCTGGAGTCATTATTTTAGCCAAGTATTATTATAAAGTCACAACTATTTATTTAAACCATATTTTGTACTAAAGCTAAAAATGTCTCAGTGCAATACAATATTTCTTGTTGCATCATCAACAACATTTCGAAAAAGCTGAAAAGATATTTGGAATTCAGAAAATCTATGACAAGTTGTCTGAGGGCTCTCACGTGTTTGGGAAAATACAAAACATTATGCAGGCAAAAAATAACTTCCCCTTCACTTCACATAGAATAAGGTGCAACTATTCACAACTATTTTCCAATCTTTGCCATTTTACTGGACCAAGCTACAAACTGCCACCTCACAGCTTTCTTTCTAAGTCGCATATTGACGTTTTTCTTACTTTGGGAAAAATAAACTTCAAATTTAGAGTTGGTATTCAAATACTTTTACCCCAGAGATCCTCCGTCCAGTCAATGTTGCGTCATTAATTTCACTTCAGGCTCACAGTGCCACAAATTGGGACAAATAGATTCATGCAGCTCAAAAACAAGTTCCTCAGAGACTATCCATCCAAAATCTAAATTCTGAAAACAGTTGTGAATATTTGGTTCCAAACTTAAAAATATAAAATACACAAATAAATGTGGGACTCCATCTTAAATTTGACAATGCTGCACAAGAAATAATTGATTAAGGAATAGACAGTGTAGAATCACATGCTTTACCCACAGCAAAAACACACAACAATTCTGGATTAAGTCTGTCACGCAACAGAAAAACTCTGCTTTCATAATTGAAAGGACCGTAAAGCTGCACTATGGAACTTTTCTGGTGGAGGGTTCACCGCCTGCTTTTGTCTGTATAGATGTTATTGTTTTGTTTAATGTTCAGCTGTATGCCATTTGTCCTGATTGTTGGAAAAATATCCTGAAAAAGTGACCTGGTTTGGTGCCGTCATCTGCTTGTCTCCATAGAAACAGATCAGTTTCATGCGAAACTGTGGAACATTCTAGGCAAAACCAATACTACTCTCCAACAGAACATGATGGACTCCACACCAGAAAAGTTTCATAGTGCACATTTAAAGCACATTGTAATTGCATTGTCATGACAACAAAACTAAACCTTTTGTCTTACCTCAATGATGTTTTTGTGATCTCAGTATCCACTTTAAGGCACCATCCATTGGGCAGAGCGGGATGTCGCCTAAAACAGAGATACACATACTTCATTAATATTCATATTTAACCAAACTAACCAGAAACACACATGGAATAACAGGGCTTTGTGTCGTTTTGTGTTGTGCTGATGCCATGAGTCAGAATCATGTTGTCTTTAGAAACTAATGAGTGACATCAAGACAAATCTCTTCTACCATTCCTCATGATAACACATGTAATATGGACTTTCAACTGGTCACTTGTGTTTAGAGCTGTCATCTGCCAACCCAATGTCTGAAGGATCAGTTCCTTAGACAAGACACTTTAACACCCAGTTTGCTGGATTACATTTGTGTTTGAGTGAAGGGTGGTGGTTGGAGAGGCTGATGACGCAGACTGGTAATCCAGAGGTAATAGTAGTCGGCCAGTATTAATACAGAATGAAAGAAAAATGATAATGATGACTACACTTATGATTAGATGCACTGATATTTGAGCTGAAAAAAAATCACGTTTGTTTATAAAGTATATGTCATGTAGCACCTGAATGTTACAAGAGAGGCTGGCTCCTGCGCCCTAGTGCCCCGCTCCTGCACCCAGTCCCTGCGCCCCGCTCCTGTGCCCAGTCCCTCCTGTGCCCCGCTCCGGCGCCCCGCTCCGGCGCCCCGCTCCGGCGCCCCGCTCCAGTGCCCAGCCCCAGTGAATGTGATTACGAGGTGTAAAAGAGCCACACACACGAGGACATCAGACTCTGCTCGGCTCTGACACAATAAATAACACCAAGAGCACTGTAAAAAGTATTATCTAGGTAAGTTCTTTATTTGAGTAGATTTAACTTGACAGGTAAAATGATCTACCAATGGAGTAAGTTTGTTTTTCTTAAAGCAAACATTAGATTTAGTTTCTTACTTAAGTGCAAAGACTTGTTTTTCTTATCTTAAATGTAGAAAGATGTATTTTCATATTCTTGTTCCAGCAGATCATTTTAATTGTCAAGAGAAATATATGTAAATCATGATAAAACATTCTTAATTTAAGTCATCTTAACTTGGCTAGATGTTTGTTTTTACAGTGAGGAAACACAAAACACAAGAACAATGTGTTCAGATCAACACAGTGGAACTTCCCGGAAATGACTTTTCACTTGCACGATTCCATGGAAATAGATGTGTTTTATGCCATACTGTGGAATATTGCAGCCAACGGAACAACATTTCCATGGACACGAGCAGGTGATTTAGAAGACTCAACTTCTCAAAGAAACTTTACATCATCTAAATGCAATAAAATACAGATGGCTTTTATTTTTAGACTGTTTTAAATGGTTGTGCCGACCTGTGCAGCAGACTTGATCCATGGGCCCATTACTTTTACTGTCTGTAGCTTTGCACAGAGAAGTTGTAAAGGATTTATTTTACAGGATGGTGTGTGTAGAGGAGGAGGAGACCAGAGACTCAACTAGTGACTCATCTGGGGATCGCAAACTGTCAAGTCGCAATATCCAAAAGTACACTTACACAAAGCACTATCCCACCCACTGTGGAACACACAGCGTAAAACTAAATACTCCATTTAATCATTTTAACTTTGAAATCCACATATGTTTGACAGACACATATTTAACTGGATTCAAGGTCTTACTGATTTTTAACTTCAGTTTGGTCACATGATCACATTTTTATAAAGCACTTTTCCAGCTTCAAGGCTCAAAGCACTTTGCATAGGAACCACTCACCCACACACTCATACATGGGGGTGAGGGGGTTTAAGTGTCTTGCCCAAGGACACAACAACCCTAACACACAACAACAGCATTCATCCCACCATCATCCTGTGAGTGAATGGATCTGACTGCTCAACCAGTGATGTTTATGTCCAGAGTGGGATTCGACCCGCCAACCTTCAGATCAGTGGACAAACGGTCAACCAACTGAGCTACAAATGAAATCAAACTAAGACAAACTTGAGCAGCAGCTATTGGGGCAACAGTAGCTGACTGGATAAAGCGTTCACCCACAAATGCAAAGATCAGTCACCTGAACTCTGCATGGGCCAGTACCACTGCAGTGTCCTGATAGGAAGCCACGCTTCAGTCAGTCTACCCCAGGGCATCTGTGGCTACAAAGGAAGCTCACCACCACTGAGTATTGACTGAATGAAAACTGCAATGTAAAGCACTTTGAGTATAGAAGTCCAAACCAGTTATTATAGGATCATTGTGTGTAACATTTCTTGTGAAATTATCCAGGCTAAAACAATAAATCTAAACTAACAAATCAAGATTGACGTTCAGAATCAACTCATTCTTTTTGCCTGAGCTGCTGTCGTACTGGTCAGGAGTCACATTAGCAAACCAAATCCAATTCAGTCTCTTATTAACTCCGGCGCCAGAATAGAACCTGGGCGCTGACTTCCGCGAGCCGAGGAGACGAGATGCTGCTTCTTTTTTTCCATGTGGGAGTTCACGGAGAGGTCACGAGAGCAGAAGACGAATGGTGCTCACTCCAGTCCGATGTGAACGCTCTCGGATGACAGTGGAGAGAATGATCACACGCAGCATGTGCAAATCCAACAGTCTGTTCCACTGCTGTGTCTCAGAATAGCATCATTACACTGCTCTCAGCGAAGAGCCCGGTCCCAGATCTGTGTGAGGAAACCACCAGATAGATGTACTGTAATGGACTTCCAACGCCACGAGAAATTATTTACTGCTAGTACTTGACTTTAAAATGAGCATAAATAGAAGTACTACCAAATGATCCTGATTTACTGCAGTAGAATGTGAGTAATAGTATATTCTCCCTACTGCTATTACTACTATTGCTGTCACTAGGTACATTTCTCATTTTTTGCTCTGGTAAGTTGTGTTCATGTTCTGTACTTTGATGATGTCATAGATTCAGATGGAGGGTGGGGGCCTATAGATTTACTCTATGGGAGATTAAGAGGTTTTGAAAGAAATCTCCAAACTTATGATTCACAAAGTAAAACCTTATTATACGTTAGAGGCTGACTCATATTAATGTTATGGCTAAAAGTAATTCATCAATCACATCACACAAGTAAGATAGGGAATTATGCAGTACTTTAACTTTTTTCTTTATTACATAATTTCATATTTCTTACTTTATACATTTGATGTCTTCTCAATACATATAAAGAGTAGAAAGTATTAAAAAAAAAAAAATAAAAAAATCTGACCGAGTGGGTGTGTCTAAACCTTTGACTGGCAGTGTATTTAAAATGATGGCATCAAACTCTGGATGGGGTCATAGTGTGAACTGTCCATCATGTTTGTGTGATTGCATTTTTAGCGGTCAGTCTCTCACTCTCCTTATTGTGTAATCACAGACATCAACACAATCGCACACAGCAGAAAACGTGATGAAAACACAAAGAACAACACTGGTCTGTCTCTAACAAATTTACAAAAGAGTTTGTGTTTGAGAGGCTCAGTCCACTCATCTGGAACACACGTCTGAGCCATCACAAGCTCACAGGGTTTGAAGGAGAACAAGCACTAAATATATATCAATATATTATTTTGTGCTTTAAGTAGGGATGGGCATGATTAGTCGATTAATCAATAATTGATCATTAAGAATTTTGTCGATTATGTAGATTTTTAATCAACAAACTGAATGTAGGTTGCTGTGCGTAGTGTAGGGAGACCAAACGTCCGTTTTTCCCCGAACATGTCCGTTTTCCACATCCTGTCCTGACCGTCCGTTTTTTTGTTTTTAATAAAGTGATGCAAATGTCCAGGTTTTCATTATCTTTCATTAGGCCATTAAACTAAGCGCCTCTCGTAGCTCTCTGTAACTCAGAAGGAGCGAGACACAAACAGTCGGTCAGTCTACAACATGCCGAAGCACAAATGTGCATTTAACAATAACTTGGACAAGAAATTCCCCGCTTTCTGTCCCGGTCGAGACAAGTGTGAGTCCATGTGCACAGTGTATAAAGCAGCACATATGTTTCAGTGTCCAGTGGTGGTGTCAGGGACCTCAAAGCACCAGGACACCGAAAAATATTAAAAAGTTTTGCCAGGTGAGAGTCGCTCAATGTCGATGACGAGGCCCCACCTCCCACCCCCCGTACAGTGTCCTGGTTTTGACAAACACAAATATGGTCACACTAACCTGTATTCCACTGAGTCATGTCTTTTAATCTGACAGAAGTTGAACCACATCAGCGCACAAGAGCTGTATTTTTATCTTCGCTTAGTTTATGCAAATTAGCGATGCAGTTTTAAGTTTCGTTTCTGTGAGAGTTGCACAAAACTGAATTAAACACATTATAATGTCAAATGGGCTGATGTGGCTCTAGAGTGGTTACAGTTTATATGTCGTAAAGTTGAATTTATTCATGCAGATTAGTAGTGCAAATACTACTATTAATGATGATCATTTTAATATAAAAACATTAATGATTAATCATTAATCAATCGTTAATTCTCCAGACGATCGATTAAGAAAATTTCATCGAATGCCCATCCTTAGTTTTAAGGTCCTATGTAAAGTTTTCACTTTACATAGGATGTCACGAAAGTGACTCGTGAGCTTTAAACTGTTATAATGTTGTTTCCTCTTCACAAACTCACCTGGAGTTCTGTTTTGTTTCACACACTTAACACACAAACCCTGGATATTTAGGTGTGTTCTTCTCTCGAACAGAAAACTATTTTCTACCTTGTGGTGTCATGTAATACAGGAATAGTACTCCAGTGTGTTTTTAAACTCCATACACCTTCATTAAAATCATTTGGATAATTTCTTCCCTGGAAATGATCTCTACTAAACATAATTTTCTGCTTTAGAGATGCATACAGACTAATAATAACTTATTCAAACATGTGAAAGAAACAAAACACAACTCCAGATATGTTTCTGATGAGGAAACATTTGAACATGGCTTAAACCTCACAGGTTTTGTTTTGTTTGTTTGATTTTGGGTAATATAGGATCTTTAACTAACACCTCGTTTCACACTTTGAAAATCACATACCCTGACTTCAAAATATTCCAACTTTACTTTTACTTTTGC